GGGGGGGGGGGGGAGGTGGCTGGTGGTAGCTCCACAGTCTTGCTTCTTCCCAACCTCCCCCAGCCCCCCACTCCCAGCCACTAGGAAGGGCCCTCCCCCTCGATGCTCTCAGGCTTGGCTTCCTGTGTATCCTGCAATGACATATATTCCTCAGAATCCATGGAGGGAAGCTCTAGGCTAGGATCTGCTTGAAAAGTGGAGTGGGAGGGAAGGAGGGAGTTGCTGCCATGCTGATGGAATGCTTGTCCTGCAACGGGAGGGATGACACTGAGTCCAGTGGTGCTCCAAGGTAAAAGGCAGTCTGGCGGAGGAGCAGGGGAGGAAGGACTGCTGGGAGGGAGGAGATAACAGATTTTATAGAGATGCAGGGTGAGCAGGTGGGGCTTAAGAGGGGCTCTGTACGCTCTCAAGGCAGAAGGCCAAAGGTGGGGTGGTGGTGGGAGGGGTGGCCTTCAGGGCTGAAGCCACACCCTGGGGAGAGGCACCTGTCATAAACACACAAGGGGGACGGTCCCTCGATCTCACTGCAGCCAGGCAGGTTAATCTCTGTTTATTTTTTTTTTAAATCAAAACTAAAAATCACCCCTCCCAACATTTGAGAAGAGTGCTTCATCACAGTTAAAACCCTCTGTAGCAGAACATCCTGGTGGTCAGAAAGGAGCCCTGCTGGCCCTGCTCGGCCAGGGCTCGGTGGCCTGAGCCATCTCTGTTCTTCTCAGCCGGTCACCGTTCCCTCGAGCCCGTCCACTCAGCACTGTACAGTCAGCCCAATGCTGCTGAGGTCAGTGGCACTGCAGAGTAAGAGATGGTACTGGTCTCGGCTGGGTTTCAGAGTTCACCACCTGGTGCAGCAAGTGCCTGGCGTGTGCCTCTCCCACCCAAGGTCCTGAACATCCACGGAGATGGCAGTGGGAGGAGGCCCAGTGCAGACACGCTGAGAACAGAGATTGAAAGGCAGCTCTGGCTCTGAACCATCGCTGGCAGGGCTACCTCCCGGCCTGGGCCCTCCTGGGTCACAGGGTGGAAAAGTTCATTTAATGTCATCATCGCTCATGCTTGATGTTGGCTTCGCTTCGCTCCAAGGTGACCCCGTTGCTGTTCCGGGGGCCCTCCTTTCTGCTCCAGTCCTTTTCAGTGTAGAACTCAGCTAGCACGGGGCAGTGCTCTGAAGCCACTCCGCCCCAGGACCAGTTATCTGGAATCCAAGGGTTTGTGAGACCTTCTCTCACCACAGCCCAGTGACCTGAAGGGACAGAAGAGAGACCTAGATCAGGACAGGGTGTGTGGGGCTCTAGGCTGGCAGGCAGAGCCAGGGTCCTCGATGGAAATGACTCCTTAGGGAGCTGCTGGCCTGTGCAAACCAGGTCTTAGCAATTTGATTTTCCACATTAAGCGAGGGTTTTTGCATTTAGGTCCTGAAATTAACTACCCAGAGGCCAGGCCTCCTGCACGTTCACACATCAGCTGATTTTGTATCAATTTATGCACCACTATGAATCTGACCAGTGACAGAAATGGATGTCCCATAAAGATGTCCAAAGTGAATAGCTGATTTTGCAAAGCAAATGATACCTAGGGGAGGGGGGCAAGTTCTTTTTCCAGAAAGGGTAAAAAAGAGAAAATGACAGAAGTTTATGAGAAAGTAAAGGTGTTTTAAAAACAAAGATTTGGCTGGGCACGGTGGCTCATGCCTATACTCCCAGCACTCTGGGAGACTGAAGTGAGAGGACTGCCTGAGCCCATGGGTTCGAGACCAGCCTGGGTAACTTAGCAAGATCTCATCTCTACAATAAGTTAAAAAAAAAAAATAGCCGGGTATGGTGGTATGCCTGTAGTCTCAGTTACTTGGAAGACTGAGGTAGAAGGATCGCCTGAGCCCAACAGGTTGAGGCTGAAGTGTCCGTGAGCATGCCGCTGCACTCCACCCTGGGCAACAGAGTGAGACTCCAACTCCAAAAAATACAGCAACAACAACAAACGAAAACCCCAAAGATTTAGAAATGTGAAGTGGGAGGTACATATGAAAAAATTAAATAACAAATAGTTACAAAAACAATTCCAGAAGAGTCAGGAAGCATGGTGTAGTCTTCAGTGCACAGATATTAAGGTTAGTGTAAGGTCTGCAGAGGCCCAGTCTCTGGCTTGAGCTCTGGTGCACCTAGCTGTCAGTGACCAGCACCTCCTCCTGCACCTCAGGGAAGCGGGCGGATGAAATGATTTCTGACTTCCCTCCAGCCTTGTCGGCTCAGCTTCCCCAGCACTTCTCATGAGAGCAGGTGCTTTTCACCAGCATCCTCCTTGGACCTGGGTGCCCTGCTGTTACCCAGGCAACGCTGTGGGTTGGCCTCTGTGTCAGGCCAGGAGCCCGTGCCTGCACACTGCCTCTCGCCTAGTTTGATGACTCTCACTCCTGAGACTCCCTTCCTTTGTTCTCTGGATCCTCCTGTGACAGAGTCCAGCAGGAAACCAGTGCCCAGAGAGAGGCAGGAGAAGCTGGGGACACAGTTGAGACTAGAGCTGGTGACAGTCTTGAGGCTCTTGGCCCTAGCTACAAGTTAGACTCTCTTGCGACAGGACCTAAGCATTAGGACTTTCTTTATTTGTTTTTTGGTTTTTTTTTGAGTTGGAGTCTCACTCTGTCGCCCAGACTGGAGTGCAGTGGCCACTCCTCGCACTGCAGCCTCCACCTGCTGGGCTCCGGCGATCCTTTCGCCTCAGCCTTCCGAGTAGCTGGAACTACAGGTGCGTGCTACCATGCCCGGCTGATTTTTGATTTGTAGAGATGAGGTCTCGCCAAGTTGCTCAGGCGGGTCTCGAACCCGCGGCTCAGGCAATCCACTCACCTCAGCCTCCCAAAGCGCAGGTTTACAGGCTGAGCCACCCAGCCCGGCGACTTTCCTTATTTGCAAGCTTCTCATGGAAGTATACCACACATCTGCTGGGATTCTGGAAAGCTTCCAACCACAGTTCAGAACCACCATTCTTATCTTGAATCCAAAGACCCTGCCCTGCCTTCCATTTGGCTGACTCACTGTGTCCTGCTCAGCAGGTTACTAGCTGGGGGAGGGTGACAGCTTTTCAGGGCGGAGATTACTCACCACACCCTGCCTATGTGGAGACCTGAGCACTTCTCCCTTCCTACTGTGACACCCCAGCAGTGTGTCGGGACACGACATTCCAAAGTAGGGTGCCTAAATGTTTGACAAATGTTTGCTGAATGACTAAGTGTCTGTAAAGTTAGGGTAAGCTATCAGCTCATCTCTGAATCAGGATTCTGCTAACCTATAACCAAGTAGGCCCCGGACACACCCAGTTTTCCCTTGGAGATCAGTGGGTGTCTTTTAATTATTTGCCACACCCCACTTCACTCTTAAAAGTGTCTCTGATTGAATGATAATTACAGTCACCTAAACAATACCCCCAAAAACGCCCACACAAAAGGTAAGATAACTTCTGTCAGTTCAGACCTGCTTCTCTCACTCCACTTCTGAACAGGAGGAGGGATGAGTGAGTTCTGCCTTACCTGTGAAAAGCTTCTTGAAGCTTTTACTGATCCAGATGTTGTCCAGAGACTTGGAGCCTTGAGGATTCTTGGTGCTGATGTTGGTGAAGGTGTGTGCCGGGACCAGGGGGTGGAATTTCTCTTTCCTCAGGATATCATAGTCGCTGCTGTCTGGCCCTTGGCCAAAGTCCCCCAAAATAATCACATCTTTTTCTCCTGGAAGTGGAAGAAAGAAAAAAGGAATTTCAGAATTGGTGAGAAGTAAAAGTCAACACTGACGACAGCCCTTTGAAAAGGGACTGTGATTCTTTGATTTGATCCCCAGGTTAGGACTGAGACGTGGTTCTCATTCTTCCAATTTTTCTAAATTTCTTGTGCAAAATAACCCCGAACATTAAGAAGAGGTCAGTAACACATCCGGAAATGAGAGGTGATGTCATACAGAAATCACCCTTGTTTAAGCTCCTGGGGTCCAGAGCTCACAGCAAAAAAAGGCCTAAGAGTCTTGCCCGGACAGTTGACAAAAACTCAGTATTTACTGGGTTACCTATTGTGCAGTAGATTCAGAAATGAATAAAACACAACTGTTCTCAGGGAGCTCATGGTCTAGTGGGAGAGACAGACTAGAAAACAGGTAAGAGCAGAGGGTAGTTGCAAAAACAAAAACACATACAGAGACCAACATACACAAGGAAAGATGGTCAGGGCAGGCTCCCTGGAGGAGGCAGTGACTGACTTGGGTCTTTGAAGATGCACAAGAGCTGGGCGCCGTGGCTCACACCTGTAATCCCAGTACTTTGGGAGGTGGGGGCAAGAGGATTGAGTACAGGGGTTCAAGACCAGCCCGGGCAACTTGGTGAGATCTCATTTCTACAATAAATAAAAAAATTAGTCAGGCGTGGTGGTGTGCACCTATAGTTCTGTTACCTGGCAGGCTGAGGTAGAAGGATCAACTGAGCCCAGCAGGGCTCTTTTTGTTTATGAGGCTGCAGTGGCCGTGAGTATGCCACTACACTCCAGCCTGGGTGACAGAGTGAGACTCCAACTTAAAAAAAAAAAAAAAAAAGCGGAAGCAGCAGCTGTTCGCTGACTGGAGGTGACTGCCCAGGGATCAAATTCAGGCCAAAGGACCAGGGAAAAGGCTGGGTCTTCCTGGCATTCACCGTGCAGCCAAGGCATTTGTCTACCATGTTGATATCAGTATCTACCTCTACTGCTGTGGGTTGTTGGTAAGGCTATTCCCAGTAGAATATCAGGAAAAACAAAGCTGAGGTGAGCATTCCATTGAAATGTGTGCCCCCACTTTCTGCACAGAGATCCCATCAGAAAGCACGGTCATTGCCAAGGTTCTGGATACACGCTGCCAGGTGGCTTCCAAAGGCTGGTTGATTTCCACCTGCCCAGCAGCATAAGACAGGTCCTCTCACTGCAGCCCCCACCAACATGGAGTGTTTTCACAGAAATGTTACTTTAGATGTGAAGATGGCATTTTTTTTTTGCTTGTGGAAACACAAGGTGTGCTTCCCTACTTCGGGCTGGAATATCTAGATACCCATGTTACTTGGAATTCTGCTACATGAGAGAGAGAGCTCTCTTCTTCCCAGTGTGTTAACTTACAGTCATTTATTTATATTAGTATGGACTTATGGATCCATGTCTTACACTCAGATTTATACTTATTTGAACACGATATGGTAACTGGGAGTTTTTTTTGCGTCAGGGTCTCACTCTGTTGTCCAGGCTGGAGTGCAGTGGCATGAGCACGACACTCCACAGCCTCAACCTCCTGGGCTCCTCACCGCCATGCCTGGCTAATTTTAAAAATATTTAGCAGGGTGCGGCATTCACGCCTGTGATCCTAGCACTTTGGGAGTCTGATGCCTGAGCCCAGGAGTTCAAGACCAGCCTGGGTAACATGGTAAAATTTTGTCTCTACAAGACTGGTCCAATGGGAGAGGCAGATTAGAAAACAGATAAAGGCAAAAAAAAAATTAGCCAGGCGTGGTGGCATACACCTGCAGTCCTAGTTACTTGGAAGGCCGAAGTAGAAGGATTGCCTGAGCCCAGGAGGTCGAGGCTGTAATGGCTGTGATCGTATCACTGCACTCTAGTCTGGATGACAGAGACTACAACTCAAAAAATAAATAAAATAAAACAAAATTTTGTAGAGACAAGGTTTTACTATGTTGCCCAGCCTTGATTGTGAAATGTTTTAATTAAACCAATATTAGCTTTATGTACCATCCCCATTCCTGTCAGGGCAGGTGAACCCCTGCTCCCATTACACACATATGAGCAGATGTGTTGATTTATTTTTGCACAAATAATAGCAATTTTTTTTTTTTTAGTTGAAGTCTCACTCTGTCACCCAGGCTGGCGTGCAGTGTTATACTCATGGCCACCCCAGTGCTGACCTGCTGGGCTCCGGCGATCCTTCTGCCTCAGCCTTCCAAGTGGCTGGAACCACAGGCATGCACCAACATGCCCGGCTAATTTTTTGATTTATTGTAGAGATGAGGTCTCGCCAAGTTGCCCAGGCTGCTCTCAAACCTGTGGGCTTAGGCAATCCTCTCATCTCAGCCTCCCAAAGTGCTGGGATTATGGGCATTAGCCACCATGTCTGGCCAATAATAGCAATTTTACTGTTTGGTTCCTATCTGCTTCAAGTCAGTTTTCGAGCATTTTTTTCTTTTTTAAATAAGGGGGTTCTTTTCTTTCTTCTCTTTTTCTTTTTTTTTTTTTTTTTTGAGCCAGGTCTCACTCTTGCCCAGGCTGGAGTGCAGTGGCACACTCACAGTCACCCCAGCACTGGGCTCTGGTGATCCTGCCGCTTCAGCCTTCCAGGTAGCCGGAACTACAGACATGCACTACCATGCCTCGCTAATCTTTGATTTATTGTAGAGATGAGGGTTTGCCAACTTCCCTTTATCACTAGTTGTTTTTCTTCTCTTCTTATTTATTTATTTGTTTTTGGAATTGGAGTCTTACTCTGTCACCCAGGCTGGAGTACAGTGGCACGATCACTGTTCACCGCAGCCTCGAATGCCTGAGCTCAGGGCAGTCCTTCCGCCTCAGCCTCCTGAGTAGCTGGGATTACAGGCACATGCCCCCACACCAGCTCACTTTCTGAGCTATTGCAGAGATGAGGTCTCACTATGTTGCCAAAGCTGGTTTTGAACTTCTGGGCTCGGCTGGGCATGGTGGCTCACGCCTACAATCTCAGCACTTTGGGAAGCTGAGGTGAGAGAATTGGCTGAGCCTGCGGGTTTGAGATCAGCCTGGGCAACTTGGTGAGACCTCATCTCTACAGTAAATTAAAAAAAAAATTAGCCGGATATGGTGGCATGGGCTTGTAGGTTCCAGCTACTTGGAAGGCTGAGGGCGGAAGGATCGCCTGAGACCAGCAGGTTGAGGCTGCGGTGGCCAGGAGCATGCCACTGCTCTCCAGCCTGGGTGAAAGAGTGAGACTTCAACTCAAAAAAAAAAAAGAAAAAAGGACTCCTGGGCTCAAGTAATCCTCCTGCCTCAGCCTCCCAAAGTGTTGGGAATATAGGTGTGAGCCACAGTGCCCAGCTTTTACCATCATGTTTCTAATTATTTTAAATTTTTGAATTTTATTAAGAATGAGATCTTTGTTTTTTTCCCATTATATTTTCTAAGTGATTATTGTTGCTATACACCAAAAGGTACTAATCTTTGTATTTTTATTTTGTAACTAGGCAGTTTTCTTAATTCTCTGACTGGAAATAATTTTTTCCCTTAACTTTAGGTATAACAAACTGACAATTATATCCTCTAAAAACAGTGATACCTTGTGGTCTCTTTCCCCCAGTTCCTCATTTCACCCTATCAATCCAAACTAATTAGAAGAAAGAGGTCATGAAGAGTTACTGAAAAGCCAACAAAACTCTACAGGCAGCGTAGTAGAAGACTGGTTCTTGGACCCAGTTCTAAAGGAAACAGCTGATGACTGGGAGTATGGAATGTGGGCTCTGTCACTTCCTGGTTCCGTGACCTTGGGTCCACAAAAGGGGTGGAACAATCCAGTTCCTCCTGGGCTGCTGTCAGGATTAGAGGAGCCGCTGCAAGCACCTGGTATGGGACACTTCACATGGAGCTTGGGCCCCTTCCTGTCAAGTTTCCTGCACCAGGTTCACAAGTTTGCCAGGGAGACACTCAGCAAAGTTAAACACTTGTGCTTAAGTAAGGACTACAGAGTGGTTTCAGAGCCAAAGTGGAAATGCTTTCTCTTCAAGCATTTTCTTTTTTCTTGTTTGAGATGGGGTCTCCTGTTGCCCAGGTTGGAGTGCAGTGGTGACATCATAACTCACTGCAGCCTCCATTTCCTGGGTTCAAGAAATCCTACTGCCTCAGCCTCCCAAGTATCTAGGACTATATATATGCACCACCACACCAAGTAAAATTTTTTTTTTTTTTTTTGAGTTGGAGTCTCACTCTGTCGCCCAGACTGGAGTGCAGTGGCCGCTCCCGGCCACTGCAGCCTCAACCTGCTGGGCTCCGGCGATCCTTCCGCCTCAGCATTCCGAGTAGCTGGAACAACAGGCGAGCGCTACCATGTCTGGTTAATTTTTAATTTATTGTAGAGATGAGGTCTCGCCAAGTTGCCCAGGTGGGTCGGCCTCCCAAAGTGCTCGGTCTCCCAAAGTGCTGGGATTACAGGCTGAGCCAGCGAGCCCAGCAAATTTTTATTTTTTGTGGAGGCGAGGTCTCACTATGTTGCCTAGGCTGGTCTTGAACTCCTGGCCTCAAGCGATCCTCCCACCTCAGTCTCCCAACGTACTATGATTATGGCATAAGCCACAACATCCAGCCCTCTTGAAGTATTTTAGGCATTTCTCCCACAGTGTGATTTACCCTAGAGGAAGAGTGATAGTCATGAAGTACATATTTTCCAAGCACGGCACAGGGAACTATGACCCCCGGCTAAGATCCAGAGGGTTCCCTGAGATTCTGCCTGACCCTTCTAGTTGTAAGTTCACTTGAGGGCAGCCAGGTCACCATGGGGTTGGGGGGAGGCAGTGTTTCTATCACACCCTGCAAAGGGAGGCTTTAAGGAAAGTAGTTAATGAACGAAGTCATAAATGCATCAGGGACACTTGACAAACCTTCTGCTTGCCAGGAATCTGCTTCAGTGATGATGGCCAGAGGAAAAGAACCGACCCTGATGGCCACCAGAGGGCGCTCGTACACTGCAGATGGCGCCCTCCTCCAGGGCGTGGGGTCAAAGATCCTGGCAGCTCCACTGAGCGCCTTGCATGCTAGATCACAGTAACCTGGGCCCCCAAATCAGAGCAAGCCCAAGTCATCCTGGGAAATCAGTACCGACTTCCAACAGGACAGCCAACTTGAGAAGAACACTAATGGTCACAACCCTTTCCTGGCCAGCATTCATGACCATTCCCTGAGCCCTCGCCGTGTGTTGGGCACTGTGCTGCCCACGTCCTGGGGACTGGTCCCTGCTGTTGACTCTGGCGTTGTATACATCCGAGGATGACCACAACCCTGTGGGGGCAGCTGCTGTCGCCATCTTTGCTCTGCAAGTGGGAAGCTAAAGCTCCCAAAGGCTGACAGGCTTCCCTAGAGTCACCAAGTCAGCCCTCAAATCCAGGGCTCTTCACAAAGCTCAGGAACGGAGGAAACACAAGGATATGGGACAGGTGCTGGGGCAGGTGTGTATAAATCCAAGGATGGCCACAACCCGTGGGGCAGGTGCCGTCACCATCTTTGTTCTACAAGTGGGAAGCCGAGGCTCCCAGAGGATGACAGGCTTGCCCAGAGTCAGAAAGCCAGCCCTCAAATCCAGGGCTCTTCACAAAACTCAGGAACGGAGGAGACACAAGGGCGGGGCTGCTGTCTGCTGTGACACATCACGTGTGGGGCACAGTGTCGGCAGACACTCGACAAGCACAGGGTCAACAAACCAGTGGGCGAGGGATGAGACACCTCAACATCAGGGTGCAGCGTGATCTTGAGAGGAAGGAAGAGAAAGATGCTGCATTTCTTGAACACCAAGAGAAACTGAAGGTTACGAAAGACGGAGGCAGGAGGTCCCCCTATGAGGGAGGTTTTCACTGCGATGCAGACTTGAAGAAACTTGGGCCAAAAAGACAACTATGAAATCAGGAGAGATGCTGGTGTCAGGGACCAATAAAGCCCCAGCTCTGAGTAACCTCAGGAGGGAAAACAATGCTTCTCTTTTTCGAACAAGCACACACGGATTTCTTACAACTCATGTTCCTTTGGTTCAACAAGTGTTGGTAATGACATTGAGGCACTTCTTGCCACTGAGAATCCTCAGGTACACACGAGCCTGACTTCTCCCAGAAGGCCAGATCTGCCTGGGGTGAGCGCCTCTGTTGGTCCCTTGGTTTCCAGAAGCAAGATGAGAATGCTCGGGGCTGACTTCCTCAGAGTCCTTGGATTTATACAACGCCGGTGTCAACAGCAGGGACCAGTCCCCACTGAGGGACCATCCTACCCTGATGGCAACCCTTCTTTCACACCCTATTTCATGCTCGCTGAGTTCACAGAGGGAGATTCTATCCCCAGTCCCTAGTCCGGGCCGAAAGAAGAGGACTCCATCCGGGCACCAGCATATTCCTGATGCCAATGTGCATGCACATTCCAGACAGAGGCAGAGAGGCCCAGAGTTTGCTCACCAAATCGGTTCTGCTGGCTCTGACAGAAGCCTGTAGAATAAAGGCTTTGTCTCTGCTTCAGCCAAAGCCCTCTGCTGATCTATTTACCCTTTCTGGACCTGAGTGGGTCAGAGCACCTCCTGAATCCCTGGGTCTTAAGTGTCACCAGCAAACAATTAATTGGATATTAGTTAGTGGCAGGGGACACAGGGAGCATGAGTCACTGTCCCTGCCTGGACGCGTCAAGGCCGGGCCAGGCCGTGGGCCAACAGTCCCTTGGCAACCTGGAACAACAGCCTGCCCAAGGTTTTCTGATAAAAACCTGACCACTCTGCTCCCTGGATATCAGAGAGAAAAAACAGTGACTGCTGATGGCTATCAGAGGAGTCAGGGATTGGCTTCTTTCCATTTTGTTTCCATGTAAAGAGAAGGCAAAGCTTGAGATGAAGACCAAGAGACAATTTCACAGATGTGAAGAGCTCTCAAGTCACCCTTTCTTTTTCTTTTGAGTTGGAGTCTCACTCTCATCACCCAAGCTGAAGGAGTGCAGTGGCACACTCATGGTCATCACAACCTCGACCTGCTGGGCTGAGGCGATCCTTCCACCTCAGCCTTCCAAGTAGCTGGAATTATGATGCATGCCACCACACCTGGCTCATTTTTGTGATTTATTGTAGAGACGAGGTCTCACCAACTTGCCCAGGCTGGTCTCGAATCCCCGGACTCAGGCAATCCTCTTGCCTCAGCCTCCCAAAGTGCTGGGATTATAGGTTGAGCCACTGCGCCCAGCCTAAGTTGCCCTTTTTAGTGGGCGAGTGACTGTAGGAAGACAATTTTCTATACAGCTGCTTCTTGGATGGAGCATCTCAGCTTAAACAGTTCTTTTGACCTTTTTTTGCAGCCTGGGGACTCATTTAAGGAGAACGCTTGGTCAGAATGTCCTGATTCAAAATAAAAGCTTGCACTCCAGTGCTCACACCAGCATCGTTCATGACAGGCCAAGGGAAAGCCACTCAAGTGTTCAACAAAGACAAATGGAGAAACCACACAATGTGGTGTGTATATGTACAGTGGAATATTATTCAGCCTTAAAAAGGAAGGAAATTCAGACACATGCTACGACACAAATGAACGTCGAAGCCATTATGCTAAGTGAAATAAGCCAAACACAAAAGGACAACTGTTATAGAGTTCTATCTGTAAGAGGACCCTAGAGTAGTCAAATTCATAGAGACAGGAAGTAGAAGGGCAGGTAAGGGGGCTGTGGGGGTGGGGCATATCGGGAGGTATTGTTTAGTGAGGACAGGGCTTCAGTTTGGGAAGATGAAAGAGTTCGGGGGTTGATGGTGTTGATGGTTGTACAACAGTATGAATATATTTAGTGCTACTTACAAATTATTATTATTTTTAACATTTTTTATTTTAAAGATGTGGAGTACAATTCAGGATTAGGTATACAAATGTTCATTATGCAGGTACCCTTGTTGATGAGGTGTGCCCCTCCCCCGGCAGTTTCCCACTACTGCCAATCCCTTTCTTACAGCATTATGAAAGTTGTTCAAGGTCCACTTGTGAGGGAGAGCGTGTGATATTTGGTTCTCTGTTTCTGTGATAGATCATTCAGTATTATAGCTTCTAAGTGCATCCAAGTTACTGCAAAGTCCACATGTTTAGCCTTCTTTATGGCTGCATAATATTCGATTGTGTGTATGTACCACTTTTTTTTTCTTTTAATCCAGTCCACTTTCAATGGGAAGCACGGTTGGCTCTATGTTTTTGTCATTGTGAACAATGCTGAAATAAACATGCATGTGCAGGCATCTTTTTTATAGAATGATTTGATTAGTGATGCTGAACATTTTTTCATGTATCTGTCTATTCATCTCTTTTGCCCACTTTGTAATAGGGCTGTTTGGTTTTTTTTCCTTTTAGCATGTTTGAGTTCCTTGTAGATCCTAGATGTTAGGCCTTTGTCAGACATACAGTTGACAAATTTTTTCCTCATTCTGTGAGTTGTCTCCCTGCTCTCTTGACGGTTTCTTTGGCTTTGCAGAAGCTTTTCAGTTTGATGAGGTCCCACTTGGCTATCTAATCTCTCATGGTATGGGCATTTGGGGCTTTGATCAGGAATTGGTTGCCTATTCTAATTTCTGTAAGGGTGTCTCCTGTATTTCTAAGGTTCTTATAGTTTGAGGTTTTATGTTTAGGTCTTTGATCCATTTGGAGTTAACTTTTGTGTTTTTCCAAGCACCATTTACTGAATAGGTTCTCCTCTCCCCAGTCATTGGAGTAGAGACTTTGTCAAAGTGAAGTAGGTTGAGAAATTGAAGTTCTGCTTCCAGAATCTCTATCCTGTTCCATTGGTCCATATGACTGCTCTTGTACAAAATATTAAAATGATAAATTTCATGCTATGCATATTTTGCCACAATAAAAAATATTGTCTAAAATCTAAGTTTGTAGTTTGAAATATTTTTGTAGAAGAATCTTCACAAATCGCCCATGGTGAGGGACCAATTTAACAAGAAGAAGTCTTAGAAGACTAGAGAATATTGATCAAGACTCAAGGACACAGAAGAGAGTTCCAGGCCTCCAGCCGCAAACCCTCACAGAAAAAAGGCTGGCATTTTGAATAACAAAGCACAGCCCAACAGCTCACCGTCTTGACAGGCTTGTCAACTTCCCCTTCTGGTAACCAAGAGCAGAAGCCCTTCTCTATTAGCTGGGGCAGAGTCTGGACACAGAGGCCACACCTTTTCCCTGGAGTTCTGCTCTTTCCAGTGTTCTCTTAATTCTTTTAGTATTTGAGAGGCAGTTAATGCACATGGAGTGCCTTGAGTGTGCCCGGTACTGCCACAGACACTCTGATGCAGCTCTCGGGGTACTCTCGTGAGGTGGGTAGTCATTTTCCCCATCAGATGTGGCTTGAAATGATCTGGTGACTTACCCAAGCTGCTACAGCTGCTGAAGAAGCTGAGATTAAAACCTAGCTTTTCTGGCAGGTTCAAGTTCTTTCAGTGAGATCTGCACCCTACCAGAGAGAAAAACTCAATTTGCCACTAATCGGGACTTCACCATTTCCTCTTGTCACCTCCTGCCTGTTTCACGATAGTGTATACCAATCTGCAGGTGATACCACCAAGTGGCACCCTGAGACAGCTGAAGCCAGGGTAAGCTGTCTTGGGGCAAGGGTGCCCCACTTTTCTCTTTCCTTCTAGTCCTTTCCATACAAGAAAGGCTGAGAAGCCACAAAGTGGACACCTTGGAACCCATGTACTGGTTCACAGAGGCAAAGCTGTGGCATGCAGGGTGTCAACCAGGCTCCCTGAGATGCAGAGGGTTTGACGTCCCCTAAACCCAAGACTTGCATTGCTGATAATGGCCAGCCCAAAGATAATGGGCAAAGAAGAGAGATGGCCAGGAGGAGGCGATACTGTCCGCCGGCAGATTTTTGGCAGAGATGCAGAGAAAAACCACTTCCTACCTTTCAGTGTTTCCTGCAGCGTCTGTGCGAAGCTTGCCAGTCGGTGGCCATCACTATGATTCTTTCTTGGGTTCTCACCCCCTGAGAGGGTCAGGGCTGCCAGGTGAAGGTTAACAAGGGTCAGGTCACTACTTCCCACCTGGGCAGGAGGAAACAAAGTGATAGGGAAAGGCTTAGATGCTCATATTTCCTGTATCTGTTTACAACCGACTCATAAACAGCTTTGGGCACACAGTTGGCAATGGTGAGCAAAACCACAGCTCCACCCCTGGGAGATTATTCGAGGTGCTACAGCTTAGATTTCTCCAAGGCACCTGTGGAAACAAGCCCTATTTTGTTCCACCAGCCCACCCCCAACAGCCCAGCCCCTACTCCTTAGGGCTTCAAAAATTGGGCATATGTCTGATTTATCTTTTCCTTCTAAGCAATCATACATAAGAAGGAAGTGGTGCTGGCAGCTGTTTGTTATAAAAAAAAAAAATTGGGCTGGGCTCGGTGGCTCAGCCTGTAATCCCAGCACTTTGGGAGACTGAGGTGAGTGAATTGCCTGAGCCCACAGGTTTGAGACCTGCCTGGGCAACTTGGCGAGACCTTATCTCTACAATAAGTCAAAAATTAGCTGGGTGGGGTAGCGCGCACCTGTAGTTCCAGCTACTCAGAAGGCTGAGGTGGAAAGATCACCGGAGCCCAGCAGGTCAAGGCTGCAGCGGCCGGAAGCGGCCACTGCACTCCAGTCTGGGTGACAGAGTGAGACTCCAAGTCAAAAAAAAAAAAAATGGGCTCTTCCTCACAAGGCCAGCCTGAGATCTTCTGCCAGGACCCACCGATGGGGTCTACCTCCGCCCCGACTCCACATACATCCCACACTTGCCCCTCTGGGTTCTTCTCTCTCTGGAGCCTGCGGTAGCCAAATGCCCACTGTAACTTAATTTCAAACATGCCCGAACTAAAGGCTTGCAGAATCTGAGCAGCCCAGGACATGCCCAGGCCCGTACCCCAGGGAAGCAGAAATGCCGGGTCAGAGTTAGTCTTCTGGGCATTGCAGCACTGCTCAGCTGCTCAAAGTTGGGTAATCCCGCCCTTCCGTTCATACTAGCAACCAGCATAAACACTTCCAGGAAGGGAAGGGGAGTAGGGGAGCCCCCAGGAAGTGGGGGGTGCCAGCCTTGTCTTATGGATGTGGCCTCAGTTTGCTACCATCCAGGACTGGGAACTCTGCAGCTGTGGTTCTGATCTCCAGGGAAGCCACTGTAAGGCGGGGTGGG